TCCTCCTAAATTGTTTCGTTGCATTTGGTCTCAACATTTCAGTAGTATTCTTGGTATGATCCTCTACCGTATTTCTTGAACTAAACCATCCATTTTCTTCTGTATCGATGCTTTAATTACGTGCTTGAGCTACCAGTCAGATTCAGACTTGCTTGAAGAATCGGGTGTAGGTACGAGTGTTGCTGGGAATTTCAAACAATTGTTGAGAGCGTATTGCTATCTGTAAAAATATTTGGATATGCGATTGCCACAGTGAACGGTCTTGGTAAGCAAGCAGATGGTACAGATGGCTAACAAAAAGCATGGATGTAATCTCAAACAATTTTGCTGGTGGTTGATTAGGGATCATAGTTACTTTGGCTGGCGGTTTACTAGGAAGTAACGACTCACATACACTCACCACTTTATTAAAACAAGGCGCCACGGACTGTGCTTGAGTCCATCTGTCCCAAAAACGAGGGCCCTTCTATTTTAATAATTAGCTAGTGTACAAATACAAGGAATCTACATAATCCGATTCTATGGGTGACATTGTGAGTGATGGTAGAATGATTTGGAGGCCAGCAATAAGGAAACTGCCCGATGCTTCCGCTTATCGTCGATTGCTTTGAGATCGCCGTTGGCAAGAGCATTTCTGTGCTCAGCCTCTACTGTAGCTATATCATAAGATCCAGCTTCAGGATTCCCTACAAATCCTTTGACACTGAAACAGCATGGCTCTGCTCTGATGCTGTGCCAAAATGTGGTTCTTCTCGGATCATCGTAATCCTTGAGTCCTAGACCTATTGTCACGTAAGGAGTGCCCTTCATTGCAGCCGCCCATTGACCAAAACTGGAGGCGAAGGTGGTGACTGCTACGTCACAAGAAGCCAAACTCATAAAGTCCAGTGCGGCATCTTCATCTGACCCACCAGGATTGTTCGCACTGTTTTTTCTGTTAAAATCTACTGGTAAGTTTGTCGCTCGTTGCCCCAGCCAATTCTTTAACTCTTCCTTCGTGGTTTGGTTATCAGTGGCCATATAGAAGCCAACATCAGTTGGGAGGACACCTGATGCGGTTCCGAGCTCTAGAGCTATCATAGCATATGTTCTCATGGACGCGATATTGTTTAATTTGCGGGATCTGACGTGAATTCCAACCATATAAGGCCGAAAACGAGTTGACGTAAAGTTTGATAGAAAACCTTGTAGTTTAGTGTTCAGAGCCACAGTTTTTCGCAAGACCTAAGATTAATGATGGATCAAAACCTGCTCAGGTTGAAGACCGCCGAAAAAGTCACTGAAGAGGCATACGTGGTAAGCAACCCGACCATCAGGAAACATATCCGCGAGCCTTTGACGATAATACGGATTGGCCTGCCAGAATGGTAAAAAGTAATCTAGTCCACTGATATCCCAAGTCCTGACGCCTCCTTTCTACATTAGATGTTTTTGGTGAGCTGTTCTTTCTTTTGTTTATCAGGAAATGGTCACCTTTGGATCATCATAGTATTCAGACAAGTCCTCCGTTACCGCGACTGCGAACAGGCCATGATTTCCATCGTGCATGACTCCAACTGGAGCAGTTGGCCGTGTCCAATTTCTGATCCCAAAATCGAAACTAAAGTTCCATACGGATGTCATGACATCTGGCAGGTCCTTTCAATAGTAAAATGTTGGGATGTGTTAAACAATCAGCTGGATCGAGGAAACTTACCAGGAAGAGAGTTCGATTTGTGAGTAGCGCCAAAACGAGCCCATTAACTATATTCGGAAAACGATTTCCCAGGCCGGCTTTAGGATGAAACGTTGCATATATGTACGGACCGTCGATTGTACCGGTATTTTGCAGAACAAATTCATGACGTTTCTAAAAACCTGAGTTTGGTCGGTTCTGTTCAAACAACAGTTCTCAATCCGCTCAAAATGGCAGGATAGATATTCAAGGAGAGCATCTTGCCTTGTAATTCTCAAAGACTTCGTCGAAAACCAGGTCAGCACTTGTTGGCATTTGCAGGTGGATTTCAGAATCTGTAGAATTAGGAGACTCCAACACCTCTCTTTCTGAGTGGTGGCGAGGCAATGAACTCGAAGTCATAAGGAGTATCATGGCAGTCCAAGCAAGAAACAAGAGATGGATTCCGAAGTTCTTGCTTCCCAACTTCTTGCTAAAGGGAGTGATGTTGAGCTTCGTAGCTCGACGCAGGAACCAACGGTCACTTACAGAATGAGAGAAGCATTTCCTAGTATGCTAGCATCGGAAAGAACCGTCAGAGACCTCATCGCGGGGGATCAAGTTCTTGGAAAGTCTTGCTGCGTCAAAACGAGGTTGATGCCAGGAACTGGGTTCTCGGGCTTGTTGGTGTTGGTGCTGTATCCTCTGGTAGTTATATTGATAGCAGGTGGTATCTTGTCGTATATACGACTTCTTGCAAGATCACAAACGTCTGGCTTGTTGAGGCTCATGGTAATGGAAACCATGAAAAGTGAAAAGCGAGGTATTACATTAAGAAGATTCACATTTGCTAGTTTAGTTAGACAACGCTTCAAGATCACCATATTAAACGTAAACGTTTCAAATGTTCTCCACAAGGCCACATATGGTACTACTGTTACTTACTGCTGCTATGTTTGAAACACTAAGAACGCATTTGCCAAATCATGAGAAAACAAGTTGACGATTTTATTCTCAACTTAGGCTGACGTTAGGCTACGTTTGGTCTTCGGCATAGCGTTATTTGCCTACTTTGTCTTGTTGTGGTCTGGCTACTCTCCGCATCAGACTGTTTGTACTGGTATTGTAGACAAGGAAGCTACTGCCGTCGTATCAGACTATAATGCAAATGATGGCAAGTTTTTATTCTTGAACTTCTACACCCTTCACTTACAATACTTTGCAATATGCTGGCAGCATTCGACCGTGAATTTGATTCATATCTACTCAGGCATCAAATGGCGCTCCAAAGTCCTGTAAAACATAGCTGGATTATTGCTCACGTATCTATGGATAAGGGGCTTGGCCATCGTATCTCGATGATCGTGAACGGATTTGTCTTGGCCATCGTCACGGGACGCTACGTACTGATGGCAAGCAACTTTGGAGTTACTGCACCAAAACGCTCCGCCAATTAGCTCATCTCGTCACAGTTGCTTTAGGACTATCCCATGCACAACGAAACATTCCAATTTATTCCAGACATGGACTTCTCAACCCATCACGAATCCCTACCCAAAGAACGAGTCACTGTCTTGAGAAACTACGATTACGATTTGTTTTCAGTATATGCTACCGAGAAACTACACATATACTATCAACAACCAGTGTGGGAAATAGTCGGAGTCGATTACTGGGTCCCACTGCTGCAAGCCAACCCGCATTATGGGGAGACGTTGGAAAGACTGTTCCCAGACGGCCAGATTGCCCATCACGTTTTGAAAAAGGTTTTACGTCTTCAACAGGTACTAGAATCTCGTCTTGAAGAATATAAAGCTAGCAATTTTGGTAAATTTAATGTGGGAATTCATCTTCGTGTCCATACACGACCGTCAACTGTCGGAACTATACAGATGTATTCTTCAATAGCCCAGCAACTGGCTGCCATGTCTGGTAGAATGAAGGAGGAAATTCGGTTTTATATCGCCACAGATGATCCGTCTGTACGTGAACGTTTTCGGCGATACTTGGGTGATCGTATAATATACGCTCCAGTAAATTGGACGGCATCAAGCTCTGCCAATAATCCAGGTGGCGAGATGGTTGACGCAGTGTTGGATTGGGCAGCGCTGGCTGCATGTAACGAGCTTGTAGTCACGTATGGGTCATCGTTTGGAAACGCCGCTGGGTCTTGGAGTGGTTCGCAGCACTATATAGTAATGCCAATACGAGACACCGTGGGCAAATGCCAAGAGGTTGGATTTTGGGGTAAAGCCTCATCAGAGATGTGCTTCTCCATGTCTAAGAGGTTTGTGGGAAATGCAAATATTGGAGGAAAGTCACAAAAGCTTTGGGACGACTTTCAAAACGACAAGACGAATCGCACGTTTGGTCATGACGATGCAAAATATAGTCAACAAAGGAAGACCGTCGCAAAGGCGCTAGTGGCAGCATTACCATCACTCTGGGATCACACTCAATGTGAGTATGAACATTTGAACAGCCCCAATATGAGTGTGATAGTGTCGGACCAAACTCTGTAATGTCAGCATATTCTGCTGGGTCAACTTCAAATATATTTAAATAATATGTGTATTAATGTTTCTAGTTGCAGAATGCAAGTAACGCGAGATACAGCTTACAGCGCTTGACCAATCCTTACAGGCTGATGATAAGCCCAGCCGTCTCTGTGGGGACGTTCTGGAGTTATTGCTAGATGTGATTGGAAATACCACCATTTGTTCTCACTGCTGACTTTCCAAGCGGGAAGTACCATTATCCAATCTCGATTTAAAACAACCAATTTTCCCATTAGATTCTGATCTTTACCAACAAACGTCCCTCTGTTGTACTCTTTTAGCAGCAGTTCATAATATGCATCTGCGTAGCGTTGTACCTGTTCTGCTTTCCCACCGAAAAAATTTCCTTGTATACCATCTTCTCCTGACCCGGAAAACCAAAGATGCATAGAGATACTATTGTTCAAAGTTCTCATGGCTTCTTCACTCTGATACGCCTTGACCGCCGACATTAGCAACCAAGCCGACGCATTCCCAGAGAAGATGTGATGGATCGTTTGCAAGCAAGGCCAATTCCTATATGAAGTCCCTTGTCGCCAAGTTCCAAAGTCAGACTAAATGTGAAAGAGCATTCAGCTATGTTGGCCCTTGAGTTCGCACAATAAGCCAGCTTACCCAAAAGAAGAACTCCGATTTGAATGGGTTTCGTGACGTAGCATTTGCAAGAAACCACGGTTTCGCATTCCAGATAGCTAGTAACCATCAGTGATTGGGTGAGATCGTTTCCATTCTCGAAACCTAGCATATGGGGTTGCGGCCTTACCATAGAGATCTGGAGTGTGGTGACCTTTTTCCGGATCCATGTCAAATTGTGTTGTTTCGAAGGCGGCTTTCAGGTCGGAAATTATCGGTACGTCCCAATGAGACATTGGTATTATTTTTGTAGGTAGACTTTTGCTCCTCCTGAGGTCAATGAGCCATTCACAGTCCTTGGGCATGCAAAATAAAACAATTGGAGACTGTAAGCTCAAAAACGCATTGCCCCACTGACGATATTCCTCAGGAGAATGCTTCGACTTCACGCTACAGTAGTAACTGACAATTGTGACGGGATATGTCGTTTCTGATGGAAATGGTGTAGGCGTTGGTCCACTGGTGGTTGCAGACGAGGTACCGAGACATTCAGCACAAGGTGTACAGGTAGCGTTCCTATCGAGATCCCATGCGACGTTACCTGTTGCAATCAATTAGATGTATTGATGGGCGTTGTTACAAAGTTGTTCAGATTGACGCACTTCGCCCAGCAGTCAACGATCCAAACTCCAACTCCCCCATGAACATCGTAGTAGCTAGCATGAGGAGAATGGAGAAGATAGCTGTAGTGAGCAACACATACGATGAAGGTTTGGGTTTGCCATCGGCAGAATCTACAACACGGATGGGACGTCAGTTTGGGATTTTGTCAGCAGAGGGAAAGAATTCGTTTCTTGCCAGCATCCATGGGTATTGGTATCTCTGTTTCCATGTTGTTTTGCAAACGATGTTTCAAAGACATGGTACAGCTTTTAGAGCGGCAGAAACGGCACTTCTCAACGCAGTTCCTAAGCACCACAAGACTGGAAGAACTACTTCAGCTGATTGTCTGCTATTAGCAGATAAACAGTCTTCTTGTTTACTACAGTACCGTCTCCAACCAACCGTTTGTTGACGAGGCTCAGGCTCAGTTTCTTTTCGACGTAACAGAGTTTCAACTTGCGTTGCTTATTAAACTGAAAGCACAGAATTTTAAGTAGAAAAGCAAAACTACAATAATATGACACCTTCGATTCATCACACTCCAGGAAAACCCTTTTGTTAGTCCCTATATTGATCATCAGTCTTTCTTGGAGAGCCAGCACAGTTAATGTTATTTTCTTCTCTGACAAAATGGTTACTAGCAAGGAGAGGAGCTATGAGGAGTGAACAGTGTGCAGATCGGCCATAATTAATGGTTCCGAACCATTAAATACGTTGAGGCGATTGAATCTACTAAATTGTCAGTAAGCCTTGCATTTTGCGTGTGTTGCCGTTTGTGGGTGAATCTAACCAAAATTTCAACAGACCAATCCGAATCATTATTATCGTATGCACTACTGTTTTACTCCTGATCTCGTTTTGGGGGTGATCAACCCCCCACTCTAGAGAGACAGGTTTTTAACCCATTACCTGCCCAGTGTTCATTGGCTGCAGCCAATCATGAGAATCTTGAATCAATATGCCCCTTGATTCAAGGGATTTTGCCAATCACCAATCCGCTTACTGTACAGAAATTCGACGTTTGGTTTTCTTCGGACTGATCTTCATTTCTTCGGACTGATCTTGATTTAATGACCGTGCTTGACTCTGCATGGTAATAGTACATGTTGTCTCAATACGCTTACTGTTGCATATTTTGATTTGAACTGATAGAACTACTTTTTGCGTTATCGTCGCGTCGCTTCGAATTCATTCAAACTGTAGCGCGGGCTAAAAAGACTCGGGCTGAAAACTGGTTGTTTTTGTGTCTGAGCCTGAGCCTGAGCCTCATTTTGTAGGGTGTGGCAATTGGGCCTTATTTGCTGGTAGTTAAGAGGCAGCGAAACGTACAGTAGTATACTATACCTCCTCTCGGCATCCGCTCTCACTTGCTAAACAGTGCCAAAAGGCCTGATCCCATCGTGCCAGTAGGCCGCAGAGAGTTTTTGTGCCAGCAGGCCTGCAACCCAATTGAAGACTAGTCTGATAGACTGGCAGATTGCTCAGACATTGTCAAGTCCTGCACATGACTGAGGCAAATCGTTTTCAGTTAGGAATTGACCCTCGCGGTCCAAACGACGAACAGTCGGAATTACCACCAAATGGTTGCTTCGCAGCGCTCCTCCCTCAGCAAATCGTGAGCGCAGCTAAGAATCTACCATTCTCCATGGAAGCGTTCCACGTTATTGGCACTATAATGAGCTCGGTGCTGATTGTGACAGTGAACAAGCTGGTTTTGGAACGTTTCCACTATCCAATCTTTCTGACCTGGATTCATCAGATTGCTGGATGGCTTCTCTCATCTCTCTACCTCAATTCACATGGTCAAGGCGTACCAGATATGCCTGCCTTCTCCCAACTTACCCTCGCTGTCGCATATTCAGCCTCTCTTTTGTTGCTTAATGTATCCCTTTTAGTCAACGACATTGCGTCGTATCAACTATTGAAAGTGCTGACCACTCCAGCTGTTGCCATTCTTCAATTCTTGTGGTTGGGCAAAACTGTGCCACCGAATTGTATTATTGCATTAGCCATGGCGACAATTGGCGTGCCTCTAGCCACAATGAATTCTGGATTTAACATTGGATTCGGTTTTGTGCTTGGTCTTGTCGCTTCTGTTGTCGCGGCTGCCAGGTGAGTTGTACTTTCTAGTACTTTGTGCATCCCCAGCTAATCCACTCGTAAACCTATAGCCAAATCTTAATCCAAAAATTTCCTGCACTGAATGGGATAATCCTCATCGGGGTCGTGTCTCCCGCTTCAAGCCTGTTGCTGGGATTTGCGGCAGTCGTTGAACTGTTCGTCGTTTGGTCTCCGGCGCAAAATCCCAATTTAACGCTAGGAACTGCAGGTCTTGTGATTCTTTCATGTATTTTGGCAATATTCACGAACTACTTTTCCTTCTCGGTCATTTCTATGACTTCTGCCTTGACCTTTCAGTTTGTTGGACATCTAAAGACATTGGTAGTGATTTTGATAGGCATGCTTGTTTTCCCGGCCAATTCGTCTCTTCAGTCAATTCGAGGAGTCTTTGGTATCACGATTACCGCAGCCAGTCTTGTTTTGTACTCAGTTGCTCGATCGGACATAAAAACAACAGGAGGCCTTGTAAGGCTATGGTGGTCAACCACTGGTTCTAAAAACATTATGGCGAGAAGACCAGAATTAATCGCCTTCTCGTTAATTATAATGACAATGATAATGGCACCAATGGCTAGTTTCTTGATACCAACTCCAATTGACGGAAATATTGATAGAGCATCAGAAGTCAATTTGGTCAATGTGCTACGTATGGCAATTACAGAGCCCTCGGACTCGAACTTTTTCGAGTGGACAAATCCTGCAGTTGTGAAGGAACGAATTTGTATTGTGCACGCTGACAGTAGAGATGTGGAAATTGAGAAGCCCGATGGTAGTAGCTATACCGTCATATCGAGATATTACATGTCTTGGTGGGCTATTAGGCATGGCTATGATTATCGAGATCTGAGAGTTCAGCGAATGAATGACTTATATGGAACATGGGATAAACTGCAAGGAATTTTAGAGACCATTCCGAAGTATGATGTCACAATTTTTTTTGACTCTGATGCTTGTAAGTCTCACGTTTTACAAGTGATCATGTAAGCCGCCGCTAACAGCATACTTAGACGTGACGGATCTGGACACCACTGCAGAATATATGATGGAACGATGGGGATTTTCTCACAATTCATCAATAATGATGGCTTTCGACCCTCCAAATGAGGTCCCGGACAACTTTAATAACACAAACACTGGTTTTATTGTCATACGAAATACTCCTCTGTCAATCAAGATATTCCAGGACCTCATCACTTGCCCTGATAAAATACCAGGTTGTTCCTATTGGAGGCATAGATGGCCACATGAGCAGAAAGCCTTCAGCAAGTATTTACGCCCCAATCTGACAGAAGGCTCAGAATTCATCATAGCTCCATGTGATGAGGCTAATGGCCATCCTGCTAATGCATACTGGTAAGTACTTCTGAACGATTGGCTGAAATGGTCACTAAGCTATCTTCTTGCTAGCCATGGAACGATAGTCAGGCATGCGTGGAACGACAAAGCTGGAGCTGGAATTCATATGTACAGACAATTGAACCTTGACCTCTATAAAATTCTCAGCAAAGTAGTAAAACGTCGCCAATTTGAAGTGACAAGCATCTCAAACGTTACCAATGATTGAGGACTAATTTGGAGTCCTCGAGCTCGTAAACAAACTGCATAGAACGATAACACTAAACAGCTAACAACTCTTGAACCATCACGTAAATCTAAAAGGCACGCTTCAGAACAGGAATACTACATGCTACGGGCCCAGTAGCTAAATACAACACAAACTATGAAGTATGAAGCTATGAGTCGCCACAAAAAATTGAATACAATGTTGTTGAGTGCGGGTCCATTAATTAGGAAACTGGTCAGATTGATGGTTGGCTTTTCGTAGTAAAATAAACCTTTTCTTTTCCGGTAGCAAACTTGCAAGACCTTTGAGCAGTGTGTATTCGACATTGAGCTCATTATGCTGTTGCGTAGTAGGACGCATGTATACTGCTTGACTTAGATCCGAAACATATTGTTGTAAATATTCCACAAATAGGAGACATTCTGATAATGTTTCAAAATACAAAAGAAAAACATCCTGAGAGCATCATGTGTCCGACCTTGAGCTGGAAAAAACAGTCATTAGCGAGTACTAGCAATGGGTAATCGAGGAAGACAGGCCAAGAAGCAGCAAAGTCCACCATCGGCATACAACGATAGCACTGGCAAGCCCAGATCTACAGACGGGACAAGAAACATAAAAACCGAGAGACATATCAAGATTCTCGTAAAAGAAGACTAGAAGAGGACAATCTAGACTCTGATGATGATCAGCAGGAAAATGGTATTCAAGTCCTCAATCGACCAGTCAAGAAGGCCAGGTAAAAACCATCAATTTTTTTTTAGCGAAGACGTATATTACGAGAATTGTTACAATATTTCATAAATACTGGGCCTTAACGCGCCCTAGAACCTGGCTACTAATTGTACCCTTCTGAATGGCAAATCCCACCCTCCTAAATATATATTTGCCCTCATTTGCCGTCATCACATTGTTGTTCGTGACTTTCTGGATCCTTCTAAGCACTTCTACAGCTTCTTCGGCCAAGAATCAAAGGTATCAAATGCAAATGGAATGAAATCATAGCCGTGACGTGTACAAGGTTCAGCGTGTTTTTTCCACATTTTTCCTCAGCCGCCGAAGTAGCAGCTTCCCTAGGGCCAAGCCTGATTTGGGGTTAGTGGGGATACTCCTGTTACATCTAGACAGGCGTGTTTGTCCCTATTCCAATTGTATAGCATAATATTGGCGGGTCGTTTACCATCTGTTGCTTTTCCAGCGCATCGGCGGAAGTGTTCGAGTCACCGAGGAAAGCAGTGGGAGCTTCTTTCTTAGCACTGATTCCAGCCCTCCATACTATATCAGCCAGCATGTCACGCACATGGTCGTGCCTGTATTTAAACCCAGGGTATTTCCTGCAATGTGCAGCATGGTCCCCAAATTCGTCCATTCCTGCAATTTTACATACAGGGCACAAAGTCTTCTCCTTGAATAGCGGGATCATCAGGCGATACTTCAATATGGTTCTGTAGTGGATTGGTGACATCTTCTGACCTACACCATCGATGGGGATAACAAACAAAAAGTCTTTTGCGTGATTGGACTTGAGACACCTGATTACTAGCTTTTGTCGAGCTGTGAGACCTTTGGAACTACTTTCCAAGTTAGACGCAATTCCATTTTTTTTTTTGAAAGTTTTTCGAACCAATATATTGTTCAACTCTTCCAAGTCCATACAATATGCTAGTGTAATTACATATTTCATTGTTACTGTTGCCACGCTACTGCTCTACCGTTATTTCACGCATCGCTTGGATCATGTTCTCTAACATCTACGTGAAAAAAAAACTGTTTTGCAACATTTGGCCTCCCAGCTGTCTTATACAGCTACAGATGGGTATCGAAACTTGTCCAGCGTGTTTTGCCATGCTTCTTTATTGCATTTCCATTGTTATTAACGTCCCTTCCTCGGCTCTCAACGCCAGGGGAAAACCTGCACGGTTGGTGCAGCTTCTGTTGTGTTGTCAATAAGAGGTGTTGGGACTTGAAACGCGTCTGATTACGCGCCGGCTACAATAATGTAGTGGTTCTTGGTCAGTTTTGCCTCCTCTCTGACTTTTCTAGCGATGTCGCATCGTTCTGCGTTTTTTTTGCGACTTGAACTATCAATTGCATCCAGATCACTGTCAAACTGTTGTGTATTGCTGTACATTGCTAGTATATGGGATCGCCCCCGACCGCTCGCACCGTGTGCGACTTTATTAAATACACCTATCGAAAACAACCCCGCACCTACATCACAATTGATGGTTAATCCTCCTTTAACATGCCAATACAGTTCAAACGAACCAGACCTTTACGCTATTGAACATACCTCGACAGATAGCACTCGGCGGTACCACCAACCAGTGCCGCTCCCACACCTAGCAGTTCATGCACTTCCGTACGATACTTTGGTGAAGTCTACTACCCAGGACAGACTAATCATCTCGGGTGGTTGAGGACTTGTGATGGGTAAGCATTTGCAAAAGCTTGATATTTTCCGAGGCTGCGTCAAAGTTGTACATTTGGCTTTTTAGCTGGACTTGTGCCTCTCCATCGTGCTTCGTGACGAAAGGATTCTATACCTCTTGGACAGTACGCTGGTTGGCGACTCTAATAAGCTCCCTGGATTTGTCTGTGCCAACGGGTAAGAATCAGAAGTTGTTATATCTGAAATTCGTATTGACTCACAGGTTATCATCACCAGTGTCTTTGTGGATGCCAAAGTGTGTGCTGATCCGTCTATCAATTACTTTGGTTCCTGTTATGCCCTTGGCAGTGTCAACAACTTGTGTTGGACGTCGAATAGTGAAGGATGGGTATGCCCATCGCCGTCTTGTGCAGTCCCTACTGGCCAGGTACGTCAACATCAACGTTTGTCGGTATTTTAAGTGTAGATATCAACCAAAACCTTTTTACAGTATGCAGGATGGTGCTCATAGCCCGGAGAAACTGTCAAACTCCCTGGATGCATTTGCTCCAATGGAAGTTTTGTTTCCGTTGAATCTTGTCCTTCTCCAGCAATTAGATATTTCGAGGAGTGTTACGCAATGGGCGATGTAAATCATCTTGGCTGGACTTGGACCACTGGAGTGGAGGCTTGAAATGCCCAGCACTGTTTTGTACCTTCTGGAGAGTTTGCAGGGATGATGCAGCCCCGATCGCGATGCCGGCAAAATGGTAGGCATTTACAAACTTGCCGCATTTTGTGCGTTCCATGAAGATCTTTGAATTAAACCATTGATACTTGAAAACCTTAGGCACCGCTGACGTGTAAATCTGTTGATGCTTCGTGGCGTGCCCATCTCCCAGTATCATGTATTTTGGTAAGCTTTGATTGCCGTCTTCCTTATCACATGCCCATTTGACTCATCACTTTTCTAAAATTCAAGCAGGCGCTATGATATCGACGAACGAAACAACTTGGGCTGGCTATGGACTAGCCGTGGCTGGGATTGTTCTGCTCCTTCTTGTGCAGGAGCTAATGTACATTTCGTAGTTCGGCTTGCTATTAGTTGGTTTTCTT